GGGCACATCCCAGTCCTGAGGCTGAATAAAACACAACAGTTTGCCTCTATTTATTAAAAAACTCGACAAGGTGAAGCCTTTGCACCTTCGTTCAGTGCCAGCTCCCAATTATTGGTCATTTATCCCTTTCTTCACCCCGCTCCCCATCCTCCCTGGCATCAGCGCGGGCACAGCTCATCCTCCCTGGCATCAGCACGGGCACAGCTGGCACGCGGCGAGCGGCCAGTACCGGGGCACACACATTTCCCACGGCTCTGGGCAGTTATTTTTATCCCTCCGTCTGCATTTGACTCCTCGGGAATGAAACTGCCTCTAAAAAAAGGAGCGACCGGGTGATGCTCCCTGGCCCGGGACTCCTGCATGGGGCTCCCCGGTCCCCCTGGGACGGCTGTGGAGAGCAGGGCTACCCTCACCATGCTGCCAGGAGCATCCTGGCTTGCTTGGCCCCTACTGGAGCCAGCACCCATGGGCTCCACCATGACCTTGGTGCTGCTCCCCGGTCACCTCCAGCCCAGCATGGTCCCTGTCCTGGATCCTATTTGGCACCCAGCAAAGTCCCTCTGCCGTGAGCAAGAGCCCTGGCACTGAGATCCAAAGGACACGGCGCATTCCTCCACATTCCGTTTGTTCCAGATGTTGTTTTTTTAACAAATACACACCAATATTTTAAGCGCACACTCACAGGGGATGCCGCTCTCGCCAGCGGGAGGGCTCTGCACCACGGGGCTGCAGGAGAGGCTCGTCAGCCCCATGGCTGCCCCCATCTCGTCCATCTCCACGGCAGCATCGGCTTTCCTGTACCACGAGGAGAGAGAGACGTGAAACACGTGGAGGAAAAAGGAGAGAAACGGCCCAGGTACGACCCAGGCAGTCACCAGGCACCCAAAGGGGAGCACAATCTGCAGCAGCAGCACAGGTTTCCCCCCCGCCCACCTCTCTCCATAAACTCTGAGTCATTTTTAAGTCATTAGGAAGGATGTTTTCTCTTCATTTGGAGGAAAATAAAAATAAAAATCCCCTTAATCCTAAATTTAACCAGCTTCTGGATCTCCAGCATCACCGCTCTCTCCAGTGGTGTAAAAGCAAGCACAAGCACGGCCAGAACTACCCAGAGCACCTCTCCCACCTGAGTGAGATACGACCAGCCAAAGGCACGAACCTCTTGGGTACATCGATATTGCTGGATACGGATCTCTGGAGCACCTCATCAGGGCCGGGACCGCCAGCCGTAGGCAAGGCGGGGGGCTGGAGCGCGGCCGGCCGCACATCCTGCACCCTCCAGCATGTCTGCAAGCCCTGCTCCGGCAGCGGCACCTTCATCTTGTCGCTCAGCGGGTTGTGCTGCTCCACGAGGCCGGCACACTCCTGCCCGGTGTAGGTGACGAGGACCTGGAAACGGCATGAGGGGTGGTTTGTGGGTGGCACCCACTGCCTTGCTGCTCCCAGGGGATGTCCTGCTGCAGCACAAGCAAGATTTCACCTGTCACAGGATCCCCACCCCCCTCCTTCTCCCCACAGCAGAGAGGGCCACAGAGGGCTTTAGGATGAAGGCAGAGCCTGTCCTGAAGGGCTTGGACTTCAGACTGCTGTCATAGCAAAGCAAAGGGCTGGCCAAGGTTCATCTCACACACTCCCCCCACCTGCCAAAGAGATCTGCTGCTCTTCCTGGGCACAAGCTCCCCAACTCCAACAATCCCAAATTGAGTCAACTGAGCTGGTATCAGTTGCCTCTCTTGAGTGTCGTGACATTCAGTGGACTTTTCTCTAACAAATTTGTCTGCTTTGGCTTTGTTCTCACATCATCCTGCGGCAAGGAGTCCCACATTATTACACACGTTGGTGAAGTACAAAGATAAAAAGATTAAAAGCCAGAGGGGGACGGGACTGGGCAAAATGATCCTATATTCACACCTTGGCTCCTCCAGCCTCAGCTCCTTCGGGCAGAAGGAGAAGTACAGACTTCACCTTCTCCTTCACCACATCCCAACTCCTTCTGATGGGCAGTTTTCCACCACTACCACCCATGAGCCTATTTCTGTTAATGGAAATGTATCTGTGTCAAAAGACGCTACATGTGTCTATGGCTATTTATAGGAACAGGAACATCCCTTTATGGAAGCGCCAAGGGTGTCAAACTGAGAAGCTGATAGGGGATGGACACACGCACCCACACCCTGACCAGGGAGGATCCTGCAGGACCATCTCAGGTGGGACCTACGGCAGAAACACCAGGGCGGAAAAACTTCCCCGCGGCGGGACTGAGGTTAAGGGGATAAGTGCAAAGATCAGGACACAGAAGACCCTGACCCTGCTTTCATGGAGCAAGGTTTCCCTGTGAACCACGCCAGCCGGCCCCCAGACTGCACAGGGCACGAGGAGCCAACATCTCCTTCGGCTTTGCACACCACCGCCACAGGTCCTGCGGGTCGCTGGGGGCCAAAGGCACCCCATCGCTATTTTTATGCCGTTCCCAGCAGCAAAGTCAGCAAGCAAAAGCCTCTGCTGCAAAGCACAGAGGAGCAAACAGCTCTCGCTGTCCCGTGGCTAATAAACACAGGGCAGGAGGGGCCAGAAAGCCGAACAGGGGCCTTATTTACACTCCATTTCACAAGCTCTTGCCCAGAAAAGGTTTTACAGTTCTGCAGGTAGCAGCCAAGAAACAGGCTCTATGTCAGCAGCTCACAGCTCCCCTCAGACGGTGCTGCTTGGCCAGGCATTAACGGGAACCGTTCCGGTGTGAAGGAGAACAAGCACTGTTCCCTGCTCCAGGCAGCATCCTGGCCAAAGCAGGGCCCTCCCAAGCATCACGAGCCCAGGGCACAAGAAATGGTGAGGTCCAGCCAGACTGAATGTCCTTTCCGGACCAGCCGTCTCACGTAACTCTTCTCTAAGAGGCTCTTTAGCCTCACCACACCACCGACCCTCAACCCTGCTGCAAAAATGCTGCTGCAGGCGGAGCTCTGAGGTCTGAGCCATGAGGCTCATCACCATCGTGGCTAAGCTGGGGGGCTCTTCGCCACTTGCTTTAGGATGTTAACCTGGATTATGGGAAGATCATAGAAAGGTTTAGGTTGGAAAAGACCTTTAAGATCAAGTCCAACCATTAACCCGACAATGGCAAGTCCCCCATGTCCCTGAGCACCACACCCACATGGCTCTGAAACCCCTCCTGGGGTGGGGACTCCCCCCTCCTTGGGCAGCCCCTTCCAAACCTGACAGCCCTTTCCGGGAAGGGATTTCCCCAATATCCAACCTCAACCTCCCCTGGCACAACTTGAGGCTGGTTCCTCCTAAGTGACAAGTGATGGGACAAGAGAAGAGACCAACCCCAACTCTCTGCCCCCTCCTTTCAGCGAGTTGCAGGGAGCGATAAGGTCTCCCTTGGACAAGTCCACGAAAAGAAATCCACTGGGAGCCACTGAACGTATAGAAACCACCTCCCTTAGCTCAGACAGTCGGAGAACACTGGAGGGAAGTGTCAGATGTTCTTACTCTCTTCTCAGGAGACCCACTTTTGGCTAGGATTGGAGCCATCTCCTGGAGATGCATCTCCGCTTCAGTCGGTACAGTCCAAACCCATCAGGCACGGCTGGGGCCAAGTGCACTAACGTCAACACCAATTAAGAGCTCACAGTGATTACAGATCTTTGCTTTACACCAGGAGAGCCCCAGGAACTTTCTCCTCCATGCTGAGCCACCCACTGGAGTACATCCCACAAGGCAAGGCCACCGAGAGCCTCCTTACGTACCTGCTGCCCGGCGTGGAGCTGCCGGTGGCCGGGGAATCTGGGTGCCTGGCTGCTCTCCTCCACCGATGGTGCATGGGATCCGTCCTCTCGCGGCACCATGTGGGCAGACGTCCGGCTGAGGTCAGTCTGCAAGCCGGGGATCTGGGTGGCCACCAGCACGCCGTCGGCCAAGGCGCTGGGAGCAGAGACACGGGTGCCTAGCAGGGAGCGCTTCCCCAGGCGCCTGGACAGCACGCTGGCCATCTTGGACACGCTGTGGAAGAGAAAGACATGGAAATGTTACCTCCGGTGCAGGGCCGTGATGTTCCCCCCACTGCCACGCTGGGAGCCGAGAAAGCAGCTCTCCATTGCTCCAACATCCCCAGACACCAAGACCCCTTGGGGACAGGGGGACAGTGATGTGCCTGAGCTCCCCCCACCCTGCTGCCCTTGTCCTTACGGTCATTTCTAAACCCCACTGAGGAAAAAAAACCCAAACAACAATGAGCCAGCCCAAAGGAAACCCCGTGAACACAGTCAGGACAGCCCTTGGAGCCCACATGCCCCTCTCAAGCTGCCACCGGCGCATGGTCCCGAGGCCACTGCGGCTATTCATGCTGAAACCCGCCGTTGGTGCTCTTCAATCTTGACCTCTAGACTTGGGCCCGTGCCCAGCGCAGTCCTGCAATTCCCTGGCCTGCGCTCCGGCAGGGGAGAAAAGCTCTCTGGCAGCAAAAGCCAGAGCCCCTTCTCAGCCTACACCCCGACGCTCCTCTTTTTGGGAGCTCTCATGCTTTGGGAGAGGTTTCCCGAGCTTGCACCTCATGCCCAGCATTCCCAGGGTCAGTCTAGCAGCAAAACGGGAACACCCTCCTGCCCTGGCTTGTTAGAAAAGGAAGAATTTGGAGAATTTTTATCCTAAATCCATTCTCTGTAACTGTCTTTAACTTAATTTTCCCCCCAAAACAACTTCCTTTTCCTCTGACATAGGTTTTCCTCATGTTGGCGTGGCTCTGCTAGCAAGCCTATCCAGAGAGCAGCTTGCCTGGCTCATTTCTTTCGGTTTGGCTCATTTCTTTGGGTTTATAGAATTTACTGCTCTTTGAAAAGAAACAAGTGGTTACAGGTTTCCTTACAAGCAAGGGACACACAGGCATGGGGACAGACGATGCACCCTTCCCTGATAAATCCAACAACTCCAGCAGCACTCGCTGTTCTCCTCCGTCCCGTCCTCCTCCCAAAGTCTCTTCCACTGCAACACCCTTCCCGAGGATGCACACCGCGGCAAAGCCGAAGGATGACGGCGCCTGGGGTTCGGGAGGAGGAAGAGGCAAGAGGCTTGGTGCAGCCCCGTGTCATGGGGTGCACCAAAAAAGCCACGTGCTTTCGCACTGTCAACAAACCCGTCACCCTGCCTGGGCTTGTCAGCGAGCGTCACCCAGCCAGCCAGGGGCTGCGGGTGTTTGTCGGGTGCCTGGTTTGGAACGTAACCTGGGCGATGGAGAGGCCAAGTCCGAGGAGCTGCTGCTTGCGCAAGAAGGAGGATTAACCCAGAGCCTCCCCTCCTCGCTGCAGGAGATGCTCGGTTCCCCTCACGAAGCGGCAGCGTTTTAATGGCAGATCATCAAAATACTCTTTTTTGACATCTGATTTACACAGCGCTGTCTTACACACTATCTAGGACAAGAAAAGTTTCGCCAAATATGGGAAGGGGAGTTCACCATTCCTCTCAATCTCCGACCGTCCCGGGAAGGGTTACTCCAAGCCGTGTCCCGCTTCAAAGGACACCCAAGATTTACGAGCGGTTTTATGAATAACCGTACGCACTCAGCTCACTTTGTCCTCCCCTGAAATCCAGCCAGCCCCAAGTAGAAAATTAACAACTATTTAGGAGCCATAAAGAACGGAGCAGGAAGAGAGGGACAGGGTGCAAAATGGACTGAGGCGTGCCAGGGAGAGCACCTCGTGCCAGGGCTGCCTACCCCGCAGCACATGGGGACTTCACTGCCATCGCCGCCTTCCCTCCGGAGCGGGATCAAAGAGGCCGCAGTGGCTGGCCGAGCAAAGCTGCTCCTCCGGCTTCCCTATCATCTCGCTCTGCCAGAGGAGCACACCGGCAGTGCATGGGAATCACCACGGGATGCTCCTTGTGCCCGCTGTGTCTGACAACGCCTTTTTTCACCACAGTGCAACGTGTTTTTGGACAAAAACAAGTGACCTGGCCATGCAGCTCTGCTCCCCGATCTCCATATACCCATACAGGACTTTCTCATCCAACAGGAGAGCCAAAGGGCTGGCGGGGGGGACACAGCGGTTTGCCTCAAATCCCAGAGTGAAGCTGCGTCCAAGTCCCTCCACGGGCATTAACCACCAGTCCATGCTTCCTACCGCATCACCCTAAAACCCTGCGCTCGGATATCACGGGCACCGGGATGTGGGAACTGCCCCTCCGAGGGCTCAGCGACGTCGGTGCCGCCACCGCGTAGAAAACGGTGCCAAATCTCCGCCGCCTGCCCGACGGTCGGCGCACGCCGGTTTCAAGGCGGCGCTTGGCCGGCAGCCAGGTGCGGGGAGGGCAGCGCTGAAGGTGGGAGGCTGCTTCTCATTTCCTTCGGGGTTTCGTTTTGCCTTCCCTTTCCTTCCCCCTCTGGTCCAGGGAGGGGAGCGGGAAGGAGGAGAGGCAACCAGGGGAAGGAAAACCCTCCCAAAAGCCAGTTTTTCAAGCCACATCTGCTTCCAGCAGGCCCCTGAATGCCGGATCCCATTTCGACGCTCAGCCCATTGCCGAGGGTGACATGCCAACGCCAAAAAAATCCTTTCCCCCGCTGTGCCCCAAAACACAAAGCAAGAAGAGAAGCGAGAGCCGGGAGGGCGTCAGCGGTGCAGGAGGAGCCGGGAGGCCACGCTGCCGCCGCGAGCCCTCCCCGCTGTTAGCAATCACGCGCCACAGGGGTCAGAGCCGGCACAGATCCCAAATTATTTCTTGCTTCAATGCCGGGCGTGGATTTTGGACGGCGTTTTTCCAGCTCTCGCCGGGGAGAAACGTCAGCTCTTGTGCCTACCGGCATTGTCACTGCTGCTGACAGAGCGAAGCCCGGGTGGAGGTCTGGGAAAGCGGGTGCCTCGGTTGGCAAATAAGGAATGCTTCGGTTAGCAAGCGGGAAAGGTTGGGGGGCCATGGCAAAGCGGGGAGGGTGCCCTGGTGCTCACCCCAACTGCTGTTTGTCCAGGGTTTGCCGGGAGAAAGGCAGTTCCTGTGCAAACCAGGACCACCGGCACAAATCCCCTCCCCGGAGAATGTGCAATTACAGCACATTTTTCCCCATTTTTTTAAGGAATAAATGCTGGTAAGTTCCCTCAAGTCCAACCTAACTCCTGCCACAGACCACCATGCCACGGACCAGCTACCTGGACCGCAAAGTCCACCCCGTAAGAGACCCTACACGCTGCAAGAACTGGTCATAAACCCCAGGTTTTCATCTTCTCTCCCAGTCCACGGTTTCCAGAAAGCGCTTTCTCATCCCAAAACATCCTGAAGCCCTTTACAAACTACACTCCAGCCCCGCGCCCATAGGCGCACGTGACCGGGATACGATATCCGCACGGAGTGGTTTGCAAAGTTTGGGCCTTTATTAAAAAAAAAACCAACCAGCAACAGGAATCTACTGACCCGGAGACGGAGCCAAACCCACCCGTGATCTAACCCTCACGGACAATAATACAAAACAGGCGCCTTTCCCAAGAGTTTCCTCCTAATCCCGCCGCGGTGCCGGCTGCTCCCCGCTCGGGTTCCGCCCATGGACATGTCACCATGGGGCTGCACCGTAACACCACCAGCAGCGCTGGGAAAGGCTCCCCAACTCTCACCCCACCATTTCACCCGCGCCGGTGTTTGCCACTGCTGGGCGATTCCAGAGGAAACCACTTTTGGAAAACACCGGCCTGCCTAAGAAGGCGCTTTCCG